TTATAACTCAGCACTGATTTCAGACATACAGGTATAATTCCTAGTTAATGGATCAGATAATTCACATGTTTACCGTATGGTAATCAATAGAGATTATTATTATGGGGAGTTTTTATTGTGTTCTAATCTGGTTGGGATACATGAACACTTATAAAAATATATAAACATACAGGCTTATTTTGCAATAACAGGCCAAATTTGCAGAGAAGGTTCAGCATAAGTAATATATGCAAATGGTGAAGAAAAATTAATTAAAAAAAAATCTCAAAGGTTCTGTATTTTTATCTTTTAAATTCAAAACACATTTGTAAGGGTCGATCGGTAGGCAAAGACGTTGTTGTCCATAAATCACATTCAGTTTGGGATAATATCAAATAAAAGTAGAAGCCTTATTTACACGTATTTTCAAAAATTGCATTAACTTTATATCATTACTTGTATTTGAACTTAAGTTTAAAATTCGGCTACTCTTTGATAACCCTTTATATGACTAACATAAATAATATTGAATAAAATATATACTTATTAGAATATATTTCAAAAAATATGGTTAAATAAAAAGATAAAGCCGAATCAGAAAGAAGCCCTCGGTAAGGGAGGCTAAACGTCTGTGGATTAGGGGGAAAAAGAAAGCATTTGGCTTCTTCTGCATTTGGGTCCGAAGCGGTCCGTCATAGATACTTGTATATCTTAAAACTGGGCAGGACACATCATTTTCGTTCTTTACGCGGAATTAAGCAAATCAGTTTATAACAACCCCGTCTTATACTTACTTTCTATCAATACTATCTTATTGCAATATTTACAATATTTAATCGGAAAGCACTATTTGAGCACTAATTGCTAATGCTGTCGTTGATATCACGCGCATAGATATTCTATCAATCTTAATATTACAATGATAGCTTAATCAAAAACTACCGCTTTCTTGATTTTCTTATATCTGTAAACAGCATTAACTTTACGATTGTAGCACTAAAATTGCACTAAATTAGCACTAAATTATGAACAAAATATTGTTCAATTCCGCCTATTTGATACTGTCACTTTTTGAACCTTTCAAACAGCAGGTTATTTCTCTTAATGTACAGTAAATATAAAGATAGAGTTACAAAGAACGGGTTATTTCTCTGAATGTATTGTTAGTATAAAGGTAGGGTTTCAAAGAGTGGGTTATTTCTGTGAATGTACTGTAAATATAAAGGTAGAGTTCCAAAAAGCGAATTATTTCTTTGATTGTACTGTAAATTTATATAAAGATGGAGTTCCAAAGCATGGGTTATTGCTCTGAATGTATTGTGAATATAAAGATAGAGTTCCAAAGAGTGGGTTATTTCTCTGAATGTACTGTAAATATAAAGATGGAGTTCCAAAGCATGGGTTATTGCTCTGAATGTATTGTAAATATAAAGATAGAGTTCCAAAGAGCGGGTTATTTCTCTGAGTGTACTGTAAATACGAAGATAGAGTTCCAAAGAGAAGGTTATTGCTCTGAACGTATTGTAAATATAAAGATAGAGTGCCAAAGAGCGGGTTATTTCTTTGAATGTACTGTAAATATAAAAATAGAGTTCCAAAAAGCGGATTATTTCTTTTAATGTACTGTAAATTTATATAAAGATGGAGTTTCAAAGCATGGGTTATTGGTCTGAATATATTGTAAATATAAAGATAGAGTTCCAAAAAGCGGATTATTTCTTTTAATGTACAGTAAATTTATATAAAGATGGAGATTCAAAGCATGGGTTATTGGTCTGAATATATTGTAAATATAAAGATAGAGTTCCAAAGCGCGGGTTATTTCTCTGAATGTACTGTAAATATAAAGATGGAGTTCCAAAACATGGGTTATTGCTCTGAATGTATTGTAAATATAAATATAGAGTACCAAAGCGCGGGTTATTTCTCTGAATGTACTTTAAATATAAAGATAGAGTTCCAAAAAGTGGATTATTTCTTTTAATGTACTGTAAATTTATATAAAGATGGAGTTACAAAGCATGGGTCCAAAGCACATCCAAAGAGTGAGTTGTTTCTCTGAAATATATTGTAAATAGACAGACAGAGAGAGTTAGTAGTAAATACATACATATAGTAAATATATAGCTAGAGTCCCGAAGAGTGATTTACTTCTTTAACTGTATTATAGATAAGTAGGTGGGATTACAAATAGCGACTTTATTATCTAACTGCCTTTTAAACAATTTATTTTATTTTATTTGCGATCACTGTTTCTGAATGCATAGATAGGAGTTCCAAAATCCCAAAGCGCAACTTTTATTCTCTGATTGTGCTAATAGATCGAGTTTCAAGGGAGCTTTTCCTGTTATACTGTAATAAAAATGACTTAAGTACTTTAAATGCTTAAGGAAATATACTGAATGTTTATATAGAATTATAATGTTTCTAACATTATTTGTTTGGGTACCTACAACTGTGAATAATTTATGGCTAAGAGCGTAGCTCATCAGTAATCCACGTATCGGTTTGGCTTAGTGTTGGGTTTTTAATCGAAATATATCTATATAGTACAAGTTGGTAAGGGTACTTTCAGATTAAGTAACATGTTGTATAACTTTGGTTTTATAATACGTCCACATTATGTTACATTGTTTTTCAACATTGAAACATACAACAATACTGTACACATTAGAATAACAATGCAATATAACAATGTTATATGACATTGTCGTTTGTCGTTCTGCAGTGCTTTTCACAATGTCGACACGAGAAGAAGTTTTGCTAGCTGCTGTAGCAAGTCTTGTACTTTTAAATAACAAAAGAAAAAAAAAACATAGATACTGAGTTCGTCCCAAACAAACATAGTTTATTGACTAAAGAAGAATACTTCCGAGTTATATAACATTTGTGTCACGTTATATTACAACACATTTTATAACATTCAGTCTCCATATTACTGAAACATGTTATATAACATGTTATGTTATATAATATGTACGCACCGTAGGCTCATTTTCTACCCAGTTTGTTACATTTAAGAGTTGCGTACCGGTTTAAGGTGAAGTGTCAATATGAAGTGAAATTTACAAGCTGTAAGGCATTTTTTTAATAGAAGTAATGGGGAAAACTTACACTTCAAACAGTGGTAGAGCCACGCGGCAGCTTTTGCTGTCGCACGGATGGGCCGGCTCGAACCGGGGTGGTACCACGACCTCACAGAAAACCAGCGTGAAGTAGAGGTTTACCTCTGCGTTTCGCTTGGTGAGTGCAGGTGGCCGGAGGCCCTTTTTACTGGAAATGAGGCATTCCATCGTAGTCCTCACGGGTGACAACGCATCTACATATTGATTTGTAATAGAGGATAGATGTAAATGTCTATGGGCCACAGCAACCACTTACCATCAGGTGGACTGTGTGCTCGTTTGTCACCCTTATCCTATAAAAAAAAAAACTTACAGTTACACGTATACGCTGTAACCCAAAGAAATCTACATCCGTCCTCGATTGAGTATCAAAATGCTGATGCGTTTTTACTCCTAAGTTCTACAATGGAATGTTTCGTTACCAGTAAAACCCAGTAGACCCTTTTTACTGGAAAAGAGACATTCCATCTTAGTCCTCACGGCTGACAACGCATCTGCATTTTTTAATTCTTTATTGAGGATAGATGTAGATGTCTATGGGCCGCAGCAACCACTTACCATCAGGTGGACTGCGTGCTCGTTTGTCACCCTTATTATATAAAAAAAAGCGATCATCGGTTCGGTCACTCACCAAAGGCAACTTAGCAGTATTATGCTGCAAATTTACGCTCGGTATAATGAAAGACCGTGGTCGTCCTCCGGCCAAACTGACTTATTCGGCTCAACCAACTACGTTATATTATATTAATTCCACTTCCACTATCCCATATCGTCTCGTGGGTGTCATAAAAAACGGCGGAGAACTGAAACAAGAGATGGGCAGCAGCATCTTCCTGATTACAACTCAAAATTATAAAAAAACTGCGGTTGCCAACCCACCAGCCAAGCGCGGCAACTTTGACATAATTCAACCTGTGAGACTCTCTATTGGGAAGGTGTACGTTCAGCAGTGTACTTTACAAGCTGTAATTGACGGATGGATGGATTGAATTACATAAAATGTTATCAAAAATGGAATTATTTATGCGTCAAAATTTCGTCGTGGGATCCGACATGTTATTCTGGCATGTGAGCAGCTTAAACGTGGTAGAGCCATGCTGCAGCTATATTAGTAGTATAGTTGTAGCACGAATTGGTCGGCTCGACCGGGGAAGGACCACGCTCTCACAGAATACGAGCGTCAAATAGCAGCTTAACACTGCTGTGTTTCCTATGGTGAGTATAGAGAACCGGAGACCCTTTTTACTTGAAAAGAGGCATTCCATCTTAGTCCTCACGGGTGACAACGCATCTGCATTTTGATTCGCAAACGAGGATAAATGTAGATGTTTATGGGTCACAGCAACCACTTACCATCAGGTGGATTGTGTGCTTGTTTGTCACCCTATCCTAAAAAAAAGTGCATCTCTGGAATAAAAAAACAGTGTTTCAAAAAGTGAAAAATAGTCGTCCTTTATCGCTAGGTAGCAAAAAAGATCAATTGCCGTTTGTGTTATCATTATTCGCTAATTACATAATTTAACAAGGGGTCATTGTAAACCACGCCTGCGGACAAACATCGGGCTTTTTCATTTACTGCTGGCATCATGCGTTTACAACTATTAAAATAATAATTATAGATAATTAAACTACTCTCCTGCAAATTAAAATATTCAGACATTATAGTGCGTATTGTGCAATAATCAACCTTATTTACAAGTTCAATTGACGATAGGATAAAGAGCTTCTATCAGACAACGGCAGCAGCAAGTTTGCATCGGACTATATCAACGCAATTCTACGCGAAGGAGTAGCAGTTGTGATCGAATCGCGGTGGGAGGTGGTCATTTACTTCTGACCAAGCAAAGGACGCAACCGTTTTTTTTGTGTTGTGATTTGCTTTAAGGATAGTGTGAAATGAAGTGGTTGATTTTGAGCAGTTTTCTAGTATGTTGGGCGAGGTTCGGAGTTAGATGCGGTGAGTGAATTCTATACGATATTATACGTTTAGTGGTTTTAACTTAGGCTTTATTTTACAGTTGCTCTGCAGAATTGCAAATAAGCAGAAGATAACATCTGACTTTTTTAGAAACTTTTAACAGGATTTGTCGTTAATTTATGCGTTATGAGATTAGTTTTATGAAATGTTTTTTTTTTTCGATATTTATAATCCGAATGACATATTGATTATTGATTAATTTGCGATTTTGTAACGTATTAATTTAATTCTTTTAATTTACAAAATAATGGATTTGTTTTATGATGTTTTAAAACAAAATTGAGTAGTAATGTGTGATTTATTATATATTCAAAAACACAGAGTAAAACTTTTTCAAATGTAATTATAGTTTCGATAGATTTTGATATATCAAATTCAAGGATTTCACAAAGAGTTTTAAAATAAGGAAAACATTGGCATTGGCAAGTATTCCATGTTTATCCAAAGATCTAATCGTTCTCTCCGCCAAAATTTCGATTAAATCGTTTAGCTTTAAGCGTCGAAACACAAGCTTTCTTATTTATAATATTCTTGACTTTTATCTATACTTATCACTTTTAGTGATAAAATATGTAACAAGAATGAAGAAATAAAAAAATACGTTTTTATGATTCGTTTGAAATTTTGTTTTATTGCTGCTAGGTGTTCTGAATGAAGGTCTGGATTATTTTGTAACGCAAGCCTTTAATTGAAATGTTGCCTGTAAAAAATTTGCTTGCTGTTAATCACTGATAAAGGTGTATTAGGTCATATCTGTGAAATTAAAAATAATTTTATCTCTCTTTACGGCAACACTGAAATACTATTCGTACCACCTTGTTTATCAATATTTAATTAATAAACAAATAATCAAAATTTGAGTTAAAGAGTTATAATTATGTTTGATTTAGATTTTTTCGGTTGTTTTGCGACGATTTGTGGATAAAAAATATGTCACTAATGCTTAAAATATAAAACTAGATTACTTTAATTTATATAGATCGCATTGCCGCTTTCATCTTTAACGTGGATTTAAGATGTGTAATAAGCGAAAAGCGACCGTTTTTCATAACATTTTTGCGCATCTTATTATCTCTTCAGTCAAGTTCACTTTCTACAATTGTTAACGCTAGTAGAAAACTATAAAAATGAATATGTCACGTGACTTGACGATATGTACTTCCCATTCATTTACGTGTATTTTATAGACATCGAATAAAATCTATAAGCGATTTGCCACGAAACTAGTTCTATAATGACGACATAACCCTCAACAGTGGTAACAGTAAACAGTGGACACCATCTTCAACAGCGGTAGAGCCACGCGGCAGCTTTTGCTGTCGCACGGATGGGCCGGCTCGAACCGGGGTGGTACCACGACCTCACAGAAAACCAGCATGAAGTAGAGGTTTACCTCTGAGTTTAGCTTGGTGAGTGCAGGTGGCCGGAGGCCCTTTTTACTGGAAATGAGGCATTCCATCTTAGTCCTCATGGGTGACAACGCATCTACATTTTGATTTGTAATAGAGGATAGATGTAGATGTCTATGGGCCGCAGCAACCACTTACCATCAGGTGGACTGTGTGCTCGTTTGTCACCCTTATCCTATAAAAAAAAATTATTATGTATCGCGGTCCTTGTATTTTTTTGGTAACATTAAGTCGTACATTAGACCTGTACAAATGCAGTAGCCTAATGGTTGAAAATGCAGACTGCATACTAGAGAAATTAAGGGTTCAAATCTGCTATTGTAATGACAACTGTTGTAATGACACAAGCATTTTAAACTTGCTTGGAATATTAGTAATGTTAATCTTTGAAAGTAAGTCATATGAACGGAATATCTTTTTCCGGAGTTAGTGCAATTAAATTCTGAGCATCTGGCAAATTCCGCGATTTATTTCTAAGCACTGGTCATCCTTTGATAACAAATGTTTTTCTTTGTATCTTTACAATATTTATTTTGAAGAAGCGTCAGTAGCCTAATGGCAGGGTGCGGCGTTGCGGTTCGAATCCGCCATTTGACTACTGTCGTGAACCACTTCTAACACAAGCATTTTAAGCTTACCAGAAGTGGTTAAAGGGAATATTAGTAATGTTTTAATAGCATTATTAGTATTTTTTTCTATAATAAAAAAAAAGCTGTAGATATATTTGTAGCACGAATGGGTCGGCTCGACCGGGGAAGGACCAAGCTCTCACAGAATACCAGCGTAAAATAGCAGTCTAACTATGCTGTGTTTCGTATGGTGAGTGTAGTGAACCGGAGACCCTTTTTACTGGAAACGAAGCATTCCATCTTAGTCCTCACGGGTGACTACGCATTTGCATTTTTATACGTAATCCAGGATATATGTAGATGTCTATGGGCCACAGCAACTACTTACCATCAGGTGGACTGTGTGCTCGTTTGTCACCCTTATCCTATAAGAAAAAAAGATAGCAATTTTCAAAAGCTGGATGATGGCTTCCTGCTGCTTCCAAATTTATAGAGCATCAGTCTGTGTACATGGTCTTAGTTAATTAGGACGGCTTCGAGGTGCAGTGGTTTAGCAATGAGTTGCAGCGCTAAGGGCCGCGGGTTCTAATCCCTCACGAAACGAGTATTTGTATGGCTTACAAATAATTGTCCCGGGTCTGAATGCTTGTCCTTGTGAATTTTAGTCAAAATTGACTTGCAATTGACCGATATATCTACAATAATTTATAGATATGAATTAATATTTTTTTTATTCACACATTTTAAGTGAGCTGTTCTTAAGTAATGTAAGTTCTTATGTATATGTTCCGGGTCTGGATATATTAGCTGCAGCAGTGCTTGAATAATAATTAAATAGTGGTATTACTACTCGGTATTGGTATCACAAGTGGTACACTTCGCCTACCGGTACAAGGCTGCCACTCGAGAACCTTTCTTTCCCATCGGTTGTTGGTTCTTCGAGCTATATGGCCGGCCCAATGCCACTTCAGCTTACTAATCCGTTGGGCAATGTCGATCACTCTGGTTTTACTGCGGATATCCTCATTTCTAAGTTTATCACGCAGAGAAACTCCGAGCATAGCCCTCTCCATAGCTCGCTGAGCGACCTTGAGCGTCCTCATACGGCCAGCAGTGAAGGACCACGTCTCAGTTCCATAGGTCATCACTGGCAACACGCACTGGTTGTACAATTTCGTTTTCAGGTTTTGAGGTATACCTGACGAGAAGATGTGTCGTAGTTTCCCGAACGCTACCCAGCCGAGTTGAATCCGTCGATTGACCTCTCGGTCGACGTTGGACTTACCTAGTCGGACTATTTGTCCCAGGTAAACATACTCGTCAACAACTTCGAGCTTAGTGCTCCCAACAACTACCGGCATAGGTCACTCTTACCTATATATAAAGAAAAGTAAATTGTTAAAGTTATTTTTGAAGAAAAACTGCAAAGTATTGAACACAGTCGTAGTGACAAGTCTGGCACGGTTCAACAGGTTACCTTTCAGAGTTAGCGCAAGAACTACTGACATTGATTCCTACATTCTAGTTCCACCATTACGGACTAAACGGATGGGATGTATTCGTTTATGGTTGATATGGCACGGACTCGTAAATAGCGGTATACTTCTTTATTTTTAATGCGCACAGTCAAGGAATAGAATTCATTCCTTTATTATTTGTTTCTTTTTCCGTTATAATTAGGAACTGTTTGAGACCAGACTGAAAAGGCGTCCACTAAGCAAATATATATATTTGCTTAGTACATCAAGACAAAAATCTCTTTCCAGCTTCTTTCTTAAATAAAACTATATTCATTGATTTTATATTTATTATCTAATATATAAAATACTCGTGTCGCGGTGTTTGTTAACAAACTCCTCCGAAACGGCTGAACCGATTTGTATGAAATTTTGTGTGCATATCGGGTAGGTCTGAGAATCGGCCAACATCTATTTTTCAAACCGCTAAATGATAAGGGTGACCCACCCTAAATATTTTTTTATTTTTTTTTGACAAATATTTTTAATTTTATTTTGTTATGATTTAGCATTGAAAAATACATAAAACTTAAAATTTTCACCCTTCTACGATCATCATCGATCTGTTTTTAACCGCGATTTTATAACTAAAAATATTTTCTTAAAATAGTCTATATTATGGCAAAACATCGTTTGCCGAGTCAGCTACTTTCATATGAAATTGGATGGATTTCCGCCATAAGTCGGTCAACATAAATTTTCTGTTATTTAGCAGGGTACACTGTACAGCCTTACATGCCTAAGTTCCAAGTTACTAAACGAATACATCGTATGGCATCAACGAAAGAGAATCCATAACCCTATTCTTAGATTTCTCGGGCATCGTAAAGGCAAATTTGAAAAATGACAATATTTTTGATCCGGTAGATAGTTTAATTATAAAAACTTCATATACACAAAATGATGTATACAGGCGAACTAATAAATTATGCATTCTATATAATATATATATACCAATCAATCTTGAGTGTAGCAAAGATAAAAATTAAGTTTTATAGAGTTTAATTTCAACTTTTTCTTTTTAATTGCCGACTTTCATTTAAATCATTTTTACTATTAATAAATGTAAAAATGATTTTATATATTATTTTACTTACTGGAACCAGGTTGGGTTTAAAAGTATTAAGTGGGTCATGAAGGTACAGTGTGAAAATTACCGGGCCATGGCAGAACAATGTTTGGGAAACACTGCCCTATGGCATTCTCTACCAGTCAAACCGACAAAAAAATGGTATAAATAAGGATGTTGGGAGGTGCAAATTAAAGACCACATTGGAAGCACCAGCTTTCAAATAAAAAGGAATCATAAAAATCGATTCACCTAGAAAAAAGTTACGAGGTTATACATAAAAAAACATACAGTTGAATTGAGTACCTCCTCCTTTTTGAAGTCGGTTAAAATGTAAGGCTAAGGAGTGCAACAAAGATGTTATCAAATTCAATAGTTTATAATATCTTATACACGGTTTTTTTTTACTTTATTG